TATAAAAATTATTAACTGTTGTAGAAAATTGTGTGAATCAGCATGTTTTTATTTTATCTTTTATTTGTGAAATAAATAAATCAATCTAAATAAATTTTATTTGATTACAAACCTTACAAATTGAAAAAAATTTATGCGATTAATTAATTGTGACACGTGCTCAATTTGCGTCCGAAATTTTAATCTTGTTCCAATCAACAATAAAAATTTTACAGTCACATGATTTTAAAGATCGTCAAGTGCAGAATTTTATCCATATTAAGGGTAGAGACCTCCCTATAAATGATTTTCATTATAGAAAATGTCCACAAAATTTAGTGATCTGCATTACATTTCAATACAAAAAAAATACAATAATAAAAATTTTATAATAAAATATTTTATTTATTTCGTCGAGAATTAAATATTTTTTCCCAATTTTCTTGCATTATTATTGCAGTAGAACCTTCATTGACACCACATATATGAAGGTTTGTCTGTAATATACTTCCATTTGAATTTGGTCTATATAAGTTTATCATTACTTTTACTATTTTACGTATTATAAGCAGATCGAGCAAATGTAGTGCTTCAGCTTTAGTCTTAATCAACCTCTCTTGTTTAAAAGTTTTATCGTTATAAGTATTCAACAAGGTGAGTTCTTCATGATCGCATTTCAATTGACAATAAACCTGTATAATGTCCTTTGGTGAAGTTATTTTACCATTTTCGTTCAACTTACTCACCACTTCTTCACTTACCTCTACCATTTTGAGCACATCTGACATCAAATTAACTTTAGATACAGGTTTAGCTTGTACTCGTAAACAGTTGTCACAATTTCCACATGGAGGATTCAGAGTATCACCATTCCATGAAAAATATTCTGCTAGCATATATTCTCTACAAGTATATTGTTCCTCGCAAAAATAAACAACTTCAAATATTTTTTCCCTTGATTTAGCCAGATAGGCTAGCCTTTTATCTATTTCAGAACCTTCACCTATTTCCTCAGTCACTCTACAAAAATTGTTTGTATTATTATTGGTTTTAATTTTACATTACAATATCAAAATACTTACGATTCTCTTCCTTGTGTTATAATTGTATAATTAGTACAAATATCATGGCGGGAATAAAAAATCACAGATTTTGCAGGGTTACGATCTCTTCCTGCTCTCCCTGTTTCTTGGACAAGATTGCCTATTATAAAAAGGTAAGATTATATTATATCATTCTGTTTAATTTTTAAAGAAGTAGTTTACTTACCTATACTCAATGGAAATGTATAATGTATTACTAGGCGAATTTTTTTGTCATTAATTCCCATACCAAAAGCATTAGTTGCAATCATAATCTGAATTTTATTATCTTTCCATGATTTCATTTTTTTATTTTTTTCACCATTACCTAGAGAACTGTAATACACTGCCATATTCATATCAAGATCAGCTTTTTCACAGAGATGTTCATAAACATAATCACACATATGCACTGTTGGGCAGTAGATAATGCATTTTCCATCTTCTAATTCTTTCAACAACATGATAATTTCTCTAATTATTTTCTCTTTAGTACTTTTAGAATGTACCTCTATTTTAAGTTCTGGGCGTGAAAAAGAAATTCCTCGAACAAAGGCAACATCAGTTGGAGAAATACAAAGATTTTCCAATATTGCATGAGCATCAATTTCCTTGCAAGTTCCTGTAAGCATCATAATTGGGCTATTGGAAAATAGAGTGGTAATTTTCTTAAGTTTGTTCCATGACTCTCTTTGTGAAAAGTTAATATAATTATTATTGAAATTAATGTAACTTATTAAAAAGCCAATTTATTTTAGTTTTTTTACCTATAGTGTCCACATTCTATAATACAATGTACTTCATCTATTACGAAAGACACAGGTGAATTTTTGGAAAAGTTCAACAGCATTCTGGTAAATGATTCATTATAAACAAAACTTTCTGCAGTCACATATATGAGTTTCGTCAATCCAACAGCAATTTCTGAAAAGACTTTTTCAAAGTATTCTCGTGGCCTATCTTCACCAGTATAAATACTAGCACACCCAATTCCAGCAGCAATTGTCTCAATCTATAAAAGAGTAAGGTAAATTTTCTTTCTTTTAAATATAAATCATTAATAAAACTTACCACTTGATCATCAATTAAAGATACTAATGGGCTTATTACAACAGTCAAACCTCCACGCATTATAGCAGAAATCCAATAACACATTGATTTTCCAGCACCTGTTCTCATTGAAACAAAAGTATGATTTCCATTAACATATTCTGATATTGCCATTTCTTGTGATTCTTGAAACTTTTGATATTTGAATACTCTTTTAAGCACATCATATGATGTAGGTGGATTAGCTTTCAAGTCTTGTGAAGGTGGTGTGTATTGATTATTCGGAAATTCATGATGATATCCAAACTTCAAACAGAAGTCATGATACTGACACAATCCTGTAGGAGAATACTTGGGAAAAGCACCACAAGCCAGACATTTTATAATTTTTTCAAAATCAAATATATATTTGGCAAATGTAGGTTCAAATTCTTTAGCTTTTATTTTTTCCTGAACACTACGTCCATAAGGTACATAATCCTAAAAAAATTCAAAGAATATTAACATATTATTTAATGTATTTCAAATTAGGTTGTTTACCTTGTCCCAATCAAATGTCTCGAGATTCCTTTTCTGTTCTTGAATCTTCTCACCACGTTCTTGATTTCTTTCAGCAATACTAATAATGTTTTTCTGATTTTGCTTTATTCGCTGTTCACTTATTTGATTGATATTATATTTGTCAGCTTCAGATAATTGTTGAATATTACAAGCTGACCTGGAAATTTCCAGCATATTCAATAAACCATTATTATATTGAAGAACAGCAAGGGAATGGCGTGTGGTGTAAGTTTTCCAATAATCAATTTTTTTATCCTGAAAACAAAGTTTAACACGATTGAATGCTTCATTGTATGATGTTCTAATGTGAGTAATTAAACTTTGTTTTGTAGGTATATAAAAAACTTTTTTGAGAAACTCTCTAAACTGATCTATTTGATTGCTTGTATGATCTTTCAAATGTGGTTCTTTTAATTGAATATCAGGGTTTTCTTTTCTCCAACATACTTCATCCCAACAAAGGCTATGGTTATCTGAAAGGTGAGCAACAAGCCCATCAATCTGTACTTTTTCTAGTTCAGCATCAGATACAGTAATTTTATTTCCATCAAGCTTTCTTCCACTTGCTGCATACACACATGAATTATAATAGGTCATGATTGTATTTTCATAACCTTTCCATATAAAGTTTTTTGCTGTAAAAAAAGGGGTAATAATAAGTGGAGTATATAAAAACAGGTATGTGATTTAAGAAAGTTTACCTATCTTTGCCCTTATATTCTTTCCAACATGTTTCAAATCTGCATATACTTTACTCACACAAGGAATATTATTTAAAGTTTTATTTGAGTTTAGGTCACCATCTACACAAATATCCAAGAGTACTTCAGCTTCTTCCAATACTGGTGTAATTTTTTCAATAATTCGTAACAATATTGCATGTTCCATCTGACGTGATGATTGCTCATGATTGCCATGAAAAACTTCATACTCTTTGCCATCTTTATTTTTCAACCGACGTGGTTTTTCAGCAGTAGAAAAGGCAATAACAGGTTTGTGGTCATAATCTATTTGTAAAAAAGACTTTAATTAATAATTCTAACTAATAAATAATATTGTATTACCTTCTAAATTTCCCTGAAATATTAGCTCTCCACTAGCTTGATTTGCATTTCGACAATGTGACCAGGAACAATCAAAACTAGTAGGAAGTATTCTTTCTCCTTTTGCTTTGATATATGCAATAGCTTTTGTTAAAGAAATTTGTGCACTAACTTCAGCTTCATTTTTTATGCTTTCCAAATATTCATTTTGTTTATCATAATAATGACCTTTTGATGACTGTGTTGTTACTCCCATCATAGAAAAAATGGTTTGAAGTTGTCTCCTGTTAACACCACCAACAAGTCCTGCTCCTGCTGCAAGTAAAGAAAATTTTGTATTGGGTGACTCATTATTATATTCAGTAATTCCTTGACACATTTTACAATTGATTGTAATTTGAAGATTATAGCCAATTTTATGAACTTTCAGCTTCTTTTTAGACAAATCAAGGTTATGGCATGTTAAACAAGGTTGAGTAAATATGTTGGTGAGATATTGTTCAGTATTAACTAATATTGTTGATCCAAATTTATTTTCTTCTATAGTTTCTTGCACCCAATCTTCCAACAACTCTTTATTTTTTTTTTCATACTGATTATATTTAAAATTCTTTGCATATTCAAGGTTAGCTTTAGCACGTTTGAATCTTTTACGTAATGCATCACTTGATTTTTTTGAAGATTCATAATCAATTGCAAGAGCTAAAGTTGCTTCTGAAGATAAGTTTACACCTGTTTCTTTAATTTCTATTCCTTGACAAATTATTGGATCTTGTGAAATTATTGATGAATTTCTTTCCTTTGCAATTAATTTTTCACCTTTTTTTTGCATAGTTGCAGTTAGCTTTACCATTTTGTTTTGAGATTTTGTCAATGCAACAGAAGTTTCAAAAATATTTGGGTAAATTGAACCGACTTTGGATTGTAGATCATGTATAATGTCAGGGTTACCAAATCCAAGAATGTCTGGAATAGAAAGATTCCCTGACCAATTTATGTATTTCTTCATGCTAGTAAAAAAATCAGGGTTTGTTTCTTCATGTATAATTTGTGTCATCTCCATATTATTATAAATTTTCCAATGATATGTAAGGTACTCATTATTACTTTGAATTTCTAGATAAATATATAACTCACCAAACTTTCCAATAACACAATGTCCAGGAAGTAAAGGAACCAATGGAGCAATTGATATATCTCTTTTTGTAACATTACGATAATATGGATTTTTAGAATGATCCTCCTCATTTATTTGTAATTCAGCATGAATACTAAGAATCTTGTGTGGTTTTGATATATCATGAAGCATGTATCCACCATTTGCTCTTTTAAATTTTTCTAAAGAAGAATTGTTGGTTTGCATGTATTGTATCCACTGTGGAATCCTACAATAAATAAAAAAAATCAACAAAAATATAGAACTTATATATTTATTTGCTTATAATAAATAATACCTTTCTCTTTTTTTACTATTGTTTTCCATTGTCACTAAATAAACATATGTATAATAATAAAATAAAACTGGAGAATTAGTTTAAGCATAAGTTAACATTAGACATTCGTGACATTCGCGATTTTACAGTCATTCGCAACTTAATTAGACATTCACGATTTCAAGTAAGTTAAAATAAAATGTTATTGCATTTAGCATAGATATTTATGTGTTTATGGAAGTTACTTATGGATAAAATAGTCTTCACGACTTTAACAGTCATTTGCAAATTTTTACTTATGGATTCGCTAACTTTATATGTGATTCGCCAGGAATTTGAACTTCGTTAATAATATAAGTCTTTATTTTTTAATACTAACTTTTAATTTTTTTTACATATAGTTAAAAATATAGTTCTCAGCAATATATTCCATATGATTTTATAAAGAATAATAAAAGATATGTCGCGTTTTATTTTAATATGTCACGGGAAATTTTTTTGGACATTTTCCATATTTGATTTTGTAATAGGTAGATCCTCTACCCTTAATATATATATATATTCTGCGGCACAACAAAATTTAAAATTTGAAATTTTGTTTCTAATTGAAATATCAATATTTTTGTTTTTTAAGCTGTTATGAAGTCATTTAAAAAGTTAAGTGGTAAAAACTTAATTTCCGTTCCCTCCCCTTGCCTCCCCATACCTAGGGACAACAGTCCTTTATATACTGCACAAACATGTAAATTTATGTTTTGAACGCGTGCAAATTTTTTCCTCCTGTTACACATACTCTTTCACATCACGGCAAAATCATTGTTTGTTACTTAATCTATCCAAAGAACCAATAATTATTTTTTATAATTTATTTTTTTTATTGTATTTTGCTTTACATTTTTTTTCTTTCAAGGATTTAAAAGTAAACGGTAATGATGGTGGTGATGGTAATAATGTCAAATTAATGGCATTGGTAGTTGGATTAATGAGAGGAGAGAGAGAATTGGTAATAATAGATAAAAACCAAATAAAAAATCCAGCAGCATATATTAAAGATACTAATAAAAAAAAAATATTTCTAAATTGATAAAAATTTAAAAATCAGTATATGTTGAAATTGTTAAAATGAATAATTATTATCAATATTAAATTACCTTAAAGTTCTCTTGTTTTTGTTTCTTCTTCGTCTCAATGACATCTAAAAAATAAATAAAGTGGAGGGTTAGCCAAATGCGGAAATGGCTAAGTGAATCAATTTTCAATGAGTTGGATCACTCCACCCCTCCCTAAGTTCATTCATCCCCCATGAGATTCTGTGTGTTCTAGACTAGTGTTATATGATATAACCACTCCACTGGGCACTAATAATCAGATTCATGTAATAAGTCTGAAAAGCAACCTAGACATCAAAATGAATTTTGACCAGATGTAATTTCCCTTCCCCATTACAAAGTCTGACATAAGTACCCTATGCGCCTATCCAATAACCTATGAACTAGAACACCTCATTCATCCTCTATATGACCAGGAGGCTCCAGAAGGTATGGGCAGTCAGTAACAATTCTACCAACTCTGTTACTGAATTTTTTTGTTTTTTAAAAAACAAAAATCAACTCACATTAACAATGATGATATTTTTGCTTTTTTTTTTTAAAAAAAAATTGAGATTCTTTTATATATCCATCATCATAAGATTAACAAGATTATCAATTAAAAAAAACGTGGATTGTTTCTTTTTTTATTGTAAATTTACCTGTTCTATATACATTTAAAGTTAGTATACATTAATGGGGAAAAAAATAATAACTAAGATGGAAACTCTTACTGAACCAGTTTTAAACAAGTAATTAACTCTAACAAGTATTAGTATATTCTATTAATAAAAATATGCCTTAATTCCTTTGTATATGTAAATATAATGATGCTTTTGGTGTAAAAGTTAAAACCTAATACTAATTTAGTAACAAACATTTTGACATTCTTTGTACAGATTATTAAGAGTTTTCAATCACAAACAATTAATTGGTTCAGATTGTTAATGTAAAAACAAGTTTTCTAATCTTTTTATATATATAAATATGTAATATGTAATTTATCATTGATCTTGCTTTTTTATTATTAAATTTTTTTTCTGTATATATATATATATACTTTATTAGAATTGATTGGGGAGAGTTGAAATGGAAATGGATGCATGGAGTTGGCTCTTTTATTTTATTATTATTGTATTAGAGGCGCAATTCAAAGATATTTGATAAATATCAATAATTGGATTTGTGCTGTTAATACAAAAGATTAAAATTAATAAATTAAATAAATATTTATTTATTACAGGTCACTCCTGTTATAAGGACAGCTCGTTATAGTGACAATCTCGTTATAGTGACATTTTTTCAAAAACACATTTTTATAATATAAATTTACTCCCGTTATAATGACATTCATTATGTATCCCGTTATAAGACTATAAGGACATAATTGGACAAAA